TATTATAGCAGCTCGTCCTCCTCCGGAACTACCTCCGCTCCAAGAAGATTTCTGTGAAAAGATTCTATTCCAGCATCATTTCTTTTTTAGTAGTATTTGTTTTTATTTTAGTTTGAGTACGTTTGATTTTAATATTTGGATTTTTGAATTACTTTTGATATGCAGTGTTTCGATTCTCGTCGTTATAGGCTTAAAATTGTCCGTTTTGTGTCTAGCAAGTCAGGTTGCTTTGTATAAGGTGATTGATTCTATGTTTATTCCTAGGGCTTACGATTGGATCTGTAGTAACTGTATGAGTGCATGACTGATGGAGTATATTGCAATAAACCCCGGGGGTATTGACATTTGTGCTAAGGGAGGGATCTCTAGAATCCACTAAGGCAACTCTGATCGAGGTCGAGCTCAATGTCGGTCCTCAGATCATTGAAATAAGTCCAAAACTGTGGCTGAGACCGAGGTCAACCCTTGTCAAGGTTGGCGGCATTTCTAGCACTACGGCTGAGCTTCACGTCAACTATTGCGTGATGAGCTCAAGATCAACAAAGACAAGCTTACTTCTCACTATGAATCAACACCAATGCTTGTACCCAAGCTAGGTATACGCTCAAGCCGAACTCAGGGTCTCAGATGGGTGTCATGGACTTAGACATTTCAGCATTGGGATCTCATAACATTCAAGATTATATCACCTTATGACAGCTGTCCCAGGGCTGACGATACACAGTTAAGTTACGCCAGCCAGCTGACAGGTTTACACGTGTGGCTAATCCAGTCATCCCACTACGCAAGGACAAAAACCGGTACAATATTTAGATATTCTCTCCCCAATTAGGTCTAACACGTGACGATAAACTAGTGGACCTGTTACTTTTAATTGTTTAAATTACCAAGTATTTTCTTGTACACTATAAATATCACCTTCGAACTTGTGGATTAGGATCACGATATTGATTTCTAGTGTACTGTTACTCTGCCAAATTTTCTACTCGATCCTCGCTTTGCATATTTCCGACTCTCTCTCGATTTTGCCTACCCCTAGATCGGTAAAGCCATCATTTGGTACTTTCATTGAGAGTCTGGATTTTAATCAAGTTTAGATCCTCCCCAAAGCTTTCAAAAGCGAAAACGTTGACAGGAATGCGGAGAAACAGACGCGCAACAACTGCGGCAGTTAACCCGAAGCCCTTTGGCACAAGAGGGTGGTTAAAGGCAAACAAGTAACATCCGCCAACAGATTCAACAGAACTTGTCGGATCTTCACCAGCAAATCTATCAAAAACAGAAATGCAGTGGCAAAGCCATATGGTCAGGTAGTTCCGCAACTCCAGAACCTCCTTGTTGCTCACCCCTCAGCCGTGGGGTAGGAAGACGTTGTTGAAAGGCATATTTTTAAGTTTACAAATATTTTGCACAATTAATGTGATTTTTGTGTTGATAAAACGACACAAATAATTCCAATCCACACCGGCCACATGAAATTTAAATATTAATATTGAAAGTGTTTGCATTATACCACTATTAGTAGCAGTAAAAAAGTATGCAACACCGTATCGATCAATGTTCGTCGTCAATTGCGCACATGGTAACGGAATCTTTAAATGTTTTTCAACCTTACACGCTTTGTTTTCACATTTTTCATTTTTTTTAAAATAACATTGACATTCAATAAGTGAACTCTTTTCATTCAACCTTATACCATGTTTTATTAATCTTAAATTTTAGTCTTTATTATAACTATGGAAAAACTGTCAAATAGGTCCTCGAACTTTCATAAAAAGGTCAATTAAGTCCTTCTATAGGAGGTTCTGTCCGGCCGTCGCGATTTGGGACAGTTCCTGGTGGAATTTTTTGATGAAATTTCTTGAGCATCTTATTCACAAAGTGTAGTTTACTCATACCAAATTTCAACTAAAAATTAAATCGGGAAAACATTCAAATTAATTCTTGCAGATGACTGCGCATTTTTGCGTTCTCGAATTAATTTGAATGCGCTCCCGATTAAATTTTTAGCTGAAATTTGGTATGAGTAAACTAGACTTGATGAGTAAGATGATTAAAAAAATTCATCAAAAAATTCCACCGGGAACCGCCCCAAATCGCGACGACCGGGCAGAGTCTCCTATAGAAGGACTTAATTGACATTTTTATGAAAGTTCGAAGACCTATTTGACAGTTTCCCTAAAATATTAAATTGTGGCTAAAACAATTTATATAATATCTTTAAATATTTCAAAGCTTATTGTTGTGAATGAATTTTACACGTAGGTTAAATTGTAGATTATTTTATGAGTTTTAAAACATACGTAGTATTAATTTTAAATTTTTATTACTAACTTTAACATTTACCTTCTAGTTAGCCTACTAGTCTTATCAGTCATATTTGCTTATCAAACATATAACATTTGATTTTGCATGCTAATGATGTTTTTACTTAAACTTTTTAGTCTCAGACCAGACCGGATTTAAACAAATCAGACCAAACTTAAACAGACTGGACCAAATTAGACCAGACTTCCATAGTTATAAAATACACAGAGATCAGACATTTACCAAACCAAGCCAGACCCGATCAAACCAGACTAAACCAGCGAATTTCAGTCTAAGCAAAAACATCCTAAATTACACTTCCCCTATTCCAAAAACTTGACCAACTTTGACTTGCACGCAAATTTGTAAAATAAAAATTGTTTGGTTGAGATGTGTGCAATGGAAAGAAGAATTACTTTAAATGAAAATGACAAAGTTTTTTGAGACACCGGTAAAAAGAAAAAAATTAAACCAAGTTTGTGAGACAACAAAGGGACTATAATAGCCAACAAAGGTGAGTTTTGAGTTACTCTTGTGATTGAAATGACTGGGAATTATTATAGAATACGTAGTATCATTGTAACTATTTTTCATAAGAATTTTTCTATGTTTGTCATAAAAGAATTTTGAATATAATATTTTCGCAAATCAACAAATTAGTGAAGTCGGCTGGTTCAATTAGAACGTCACCGGTTTCAATGGATTCAATTAGGGGTGGACACGTCGATTTTCGGTTCGGTTTGGAACAGGTTGGGAGTATTAGTACCCAACAACAACCTTACTATTTTCGGTTTGGTTCGGTTTGGTTTTGTTTGGATTGTTATTTTTCGACAACATATGAAGATTTTATTGAATTTCTTTAGTTCGGTTTTTATCGGTTTGATTTTGGTTCAATTTAATGCGTCTTAGAAGAAATACCACCAAACTCAAACCAAATTGTATATGGTCCGGTTTTGGTTTGGTTTAGTTCGGTTTGGAACAATTCGGTTCAGTTAAACCAAAACAATATGCCCACCACTAAATTCAACCTATTTAACTGATTTAATTGTTACCAAATAGATACTTTAAAATATCCAATCATCGGTTAAAATTTGATCAAGTTTGTCCATCACGGAGATTAATAAAACAAAAACTGTATATTGATATATGTATTGAGGAGAAAACATCAACAAGAAAAAAAATATTTAAAAGAAAAAGTGACAAGACTATTTTCAGTCCCAGACCTGACCAGATCAGACCAGACTTAAATAGATCAGACCAGACCAGACTTTCGTAATTATAAATTACACAGAGATCAGACATTTACCAGATCAGACCAGTTCAGACCAGACTAGACCTAAACAGACTAGACTAGACCAGACCTACAAATTACAGTCCAAATAAAAACATCCTAAAAGACAATAAAAAAGGAAAATTGACAAATCTCTAAGGTAGTGTTTTCCTTTGCTTTTGAAAAGCACTTTTGATTTTTTTTTTTAAATCTAATTGGAGTGTTTGCAAAAGGAAGCTTTAGCTTCAAAAAAAGTGATTTTCGTGTAAAAGCTGGAAGCTACTCTGAGCATGCTTCTATCTGCTTTTTTTGGTTTTATTGAAATTAAAGACAACTCTCCGGATAGTTAGAGCATCTTCAATGCTAAAATGTTAATGGTGCATACGTGACATGAGAAATAACCAATTAAAAAACAATAAATAGAATATCTCTCTCCTTATTTGAAGGATCTTACATCATTTTGGTAAGTGTTTCTTCACAATGTCAAGCACAATGTCTAGATGTGGACATTGTGGTTGACATTGCAGACAAAAACTTACCAAAAACACATAAGACGTGAAAAGAAGGAGAGAGAAATGTCATAACATCAATAATTTGTGTCTATATCTCTTATACCATCCCATTTCCCACTGATATCCAACTTTACCCTTCTCCCATCCCTGAATGGAGCCTCCTCGATAACTATCAGAAAAACTCCCGTTCTCTCCTTCTCTGCGTCGCACGTCCCCAACGAAAATTTGGTCAGTGAAGGCTGCTCCCGCAGTAAAGCTCCCATTCTCTCCGTCTCTCAATAGAAGAGAAAGCCAATAAAAGATTGAGATTTTTTAAACCTACGAAAGTACAAATCAAATTTGTTTGAATGAAGAGACCAGATCAACGCTCTCTACTATGTAGATGCGTTCAGCCCCCAGATCGACTCCCCAAATTTCCTTCGTATCTGGGGTTGGGGGGACTATTTGAGAACCTCTTTACAAACCTCTTTTGGAAAAATGCATATCTGAATTTGATTTCTTTTCATATACCAGTGGTAGAAAAGAAAAGCAGCAAGACACCGAACACAATTTTGAGTGCAGACCAAATTGTGCCCGTCAAAAACAATATGATATTCCCATTGTTGCAATGAAGTAATTGAGGAATTACAAAGAAATTATGTTTCGTTCAGCAGGAGAACCGTGCGTTAGGTTACATGGAGTATTTGATCGAGAGAGAGGAAGGTGAGCTGATATATGAAAGAAGGATATTTTTGTACATTCAGAAAAATATAATTTCACAATCACTTTTTTACCAAACATTCCAACTTTAACTTTTTCATTTTAATCACTTCTATTCTCAAACACTCCCAACTTTTATCATTAATCACTTTTTCAAAAACCACTTTACAAAATCACTTTTTCCAAAAGTTAAGCAATAGCAAACATAGCCTAAGTGAGTTTGAATCCTAAATCCTTCTTTAAATCGTCCTATGAGTACCATTTATCATCGTCAAGTTAAATGATTTACCGAGTATAATCGGCAAGTTGTTGGTCAAAAATCACATGCCCAAGATCTAGAATAACCTAACCCTATTACCGGTGCACCAATTCATCCGATCTACCATCTCTCAGCCAGACGGTCGTGCGCTATATCGTTCTCTCCGTTTCCAGCTCCACTGGTCGGACGCAGTCTACACCACGCCGTTCGTCTAATATCAAACCCGAGGTTAGTCGATTATTACTAACTGTCTTCTTATCTTATCGCATCTTGTTTTGTTTGTTCGTGCCTCTTGTTTTGTTTTGTTGGTTCGTTCTTTATCTGTTCTTTCAGTTAAACGATGAATAATTTTCTAAAATAAGGAGTATAAGCCAGGGGCGGAGCTAGGGTAAAAATCGGGGTGGCTGGATTTGAACTAAAAGTTATAATTTGAAATCTAATTTTCTAAATAAATCATGTAGTACCCGAATTAGGGTAAAAAATCTGGATGGGCCGGATTCAAACTAAAAATCATATTGTGAAATCTAATTTTCTAAATAATGTACATGGTACCCGAATCTAATTTAGCTAAAACTAACTTCTTGTAATAATAGTAATAATAACAATAATATTCACAGTTCACTGATATTCAACAACCACAGATAGCTAGTAAAGCACAAACAATTGTCAGAACTGAAAAAAAATTAATCTTGTTCAAGATATACGGAATAATTTGTAATAAGCATAATACAAACATAATAAATACTTGGAAGTCCTAAACACAGAAAGATCTATTAAATATGAAAATTTAAATCTTATACAATGATTTACCAAGACAGAATAATATTAGAAATTTGTATTTATTTTTTACTTTCTTTAATTTTCTCTCTTTTGTAGACTAGGACGTTTGGTTGCTATTCGAAGTCAATAATTTGGCTGGCAAGCTTAAGCTTAAGACTCCTCTATGGTACTTTAACTGGCTGACATTTAAACAGTACTGGGCCAAAATCATTACCTGCTGGCTCAATATAATTTTTTTTAAATATTTCCTAAAGGGTTTATTCCAATCTGCACTGGCCCAGGGTCCTAGAAGGCCCTTCCCTACCTCCGCCAATGTAATAAGCTGTAATGTAATGACCAACCAATACGATTTCAGTGTTGCCTTAGTATGGAGGAGAGCCGAAATTCCGCAGATTAACAGTTAGCACGTGTCACATCATCCCGTGATGACACCATGAAGATGTCATAATGATGTCATCATTTCAGGCGGGAACAGTTATCTTAGGCGGTCCAGCTTATATATATGTGTGTAGATTTCTGTATTTTAGTTGTTGTTGTTGTTGTTGTTGTTGTTGTTGTTGTTATTATTATTATTATTATTATTATTATTATTATTATTATCCATTACATTAATTAGTCATAGGTTACCACAAAATAGCTATCATTATTGCTACAGTTAGAGTTTTGCAGTAAATACTCTACTGCTCATCTTACACTTGGTGTTCTCTTCTCAAAAGAATTACTACATTTAACCAGTTGTGATGTTTAACGTGTATTCTTTTTGATGTTTTTAAAATGGAGCAGTTAAAATGGGGAAGAAGAAATCTGATGAGATTGGAGCAGTTAAGGGTAAGGGGATTGGGAAAGATTCTTCCAAAGAAGTAAAAAAAGAGAAGATTTCGGTCTCTGCAATGCTGGCTAGTATGGATCAGAAACCAGATAAGCCCAAGAAAGCTTCTTCTTCTTCTAGAACTTCTAAACAAGCTCCAAAAGTTTCGTCTTACACAGATGGCATCGATCTTCCTCCTTCCGATGATGAAGATGATATGGATGGTGTGGGTCCGGCAGAAGTTGAAGCACAACATGATGATGGTAAGCATCCTGTCAGGGGGCGTAACAGAAATGATGCCGACAGTTCCCTGGATGTCTCGATAACGGACAAAGAGTTAAAGAAGCGAGAAAAGAAAGACATGCTGGCTGCCCATGCTGTTGAGCTGGCAAAGCGGGAGGCACTCAAGGATGACCGTGATGCCTTCACTGTTGTCATCGGAAGCCGGACTTCGGTTCTTGACGGTCAAGATGACGCGGATGCTAACGTCAAGGACATCTCAGTAGACAGTTTTTCTGTTTCGGCTCGAGGAAAAGAGCTCTTAAAGAACACATCCGTGACGATATCTCATGGTAGGCGATACGGACTGGTGGGACCCAACGGAAAGGGTAAGTCCACTCTATTAAAGCTGCTCGCTTGGCGAAAGATTCCCGTACCGAAAAACATCGATGTCCTTTTGGTCGAACAGGAGGTGGTTGGTGATGACAAAACTGCTCTTGAAGCTGTCATTTCTGCTAACGAAGAACTCGTCAAGACCCGCCAAGAGGTTCAGAATCTATCCGCTTCTGTAGGTGACAATGAAGAAGATGACGATGTGGCTGATGACGTGGGAGAGAAACTTGCTGAGTTGTATGATAAACTGCAGATAATGGGCTCTGATGCTGCTGAGGCCCAAGCATCTAAAATTCTTGCCGGGTTGGGTTTCACAAAGGAAATGCAGGGACGCCCAACACGGTCATTTAGTGGTGGGTGGAGAATGAGAATCTCACTTGCTCGGGCACTCTTTGTTCAGCCCACCCTATTGCTTTTGGATGAACCTACCAACCATCTTGACCTTCGGGCGGTCCTTTGGCTTGAGGAATATTTATTCAGGTGGAAGAAAACTCTCGTTGTTGTCTCCCATGACCGTGATTTTCTCAATACTGTCTGCACCGACATCATTCACCTCCATGACATGAAGCTCCATTACTACCGCGGTAACTTTTCTGTTTTTGAAGGTGGGTATGATAACCGACGCAAAGAGGCAACAAAAAAGTTTGAGGCATATGAGAAGGCGATGAGGATTGCAAAGAAATCTGGGAATCGTGTACAGCAGGAGAAGGTCAGGGACCGTGCCAAATTTGCTGCTGCAAAAGAATCAAAGAAAAAGTCAAAGGTTGATGAGGAGGATGAGCCTGTACCTGAGGCCCCACATAAATGGAAGGATTATACCGTAGAGTTTCACTTTCCTGAGCCCACTGAACTCACCCCCCCACTATTGCAGTTGATTGAAGTCAGCTTTTCCTATCCGAACCGACCTGACTTCAGGCTCTGTAATGTGGATGTGGGAATCGATATGGGGACGCGAGTTGCCATTGTGGGTCCGAACGGTGCAGGAAAATCTACTCTGCTCAATCTTCTTGCCGGAGACTTGGTCCCATCTGAGGGTGAGGTCCGGAGGAGTCAGAAATTGAGGATCGGACGGTATTCACAACATTTTGTGGATTTGTTAACAATGGATGAAACACCGGTGCAGTACCTTCTCCGTCTGCATCCGGACCAAACAGGTCCCAGCAAGCAAGAGGCAGTCCGTGCGAAGCTCGGGAAGTTTGGTCTCCCCAGCCACAATCACCTGACACCCATTGCCAAGCTATCTGGAGGGCAGAAGTCACGGGTCGTTTTCACCTCAATCTCCATGTCGAAACCACACATCCTGCTGTTGGATGAACCTACAAACCATCTGGACATGCAAAGCATTGATGCGCTGGCGGCTGCACTTGATGAGTTCACTGGTGGGGTCGTGCTGGTGAGTCACGACTCAAGGCTGATATCGCGTGTCTGTGAGGATGAGGAAGTGAGTGAGATTTGGGTGGTAGAGGATGGAACCGTGACTCCATTCCAAGGAACCTTTAGCGAGTATAAGGAAGATCTACAAAGGGAAATCCGAGCCGAGGTTGATGAGTGATAATAATGTTTCCTTTCTCTCCTCCTCCCTCATGATAGTTGTTGCTCTTATTATGATTTTGGTGAGTGTAATCATTTATCTGTTGCGAATATACAAAACATATATGAACTTTACTAGCCTGCACTTTGTAAAACACTGCAGTCTGCATGCTGATGATTTATAAAGTTTTTCTGAAGATTGTCATTTAATGTGACCTCTTCATGAGTGCTCTGCATTTTTGGGTTTAATCCTAGTAGGGGTAGACCTGTGCTGAATCCGGTACTGGACCAACCGTCCCCCAGTTACCGGAACCTACTGTTACGAGTCACTTCGGGTTCTGTATTTAAAAAAACTGGAACCAGTTTGTTCCTATCCTTTTTTGGAGGAATTGAAACAAAACAATCTCTGGTTTGGTCCTCTACCCACTTGGTTCTGGAACTGGGTCTACTGTTATTTCATAGTCATTTACAATGGAGCTAAAGGCTTACTATTTTTTGCCTTGATAATATGATGCAATTAAGTAAAATGTCTCACTAAACTATTTGCGTTTCTTTGTTATGGTGCTGATGGAATCATGGAATTAAGCAGAATGTCTCACCAGTACATGTAATTTTCGTTGTGATTTTCCTTATAAGTCATCTAGAAACATTCTCTTTGCTTTAGTACAGGGGTAAGATTGTGTACATCTGATCCTTTAAACCCCACCATATTTGGAAGCTTTTGCGGCATTGGGGTAATAATGATGATTAGTGATGATGTTAAACTTCTTGCCTAACTTGTTGAACCTTGTACCGACAATTGATTACATCTCCAGCATATTATGAGAGGTCTGAGGTTGGTTACAAAAGCTTCCTGGTTTATGTCCTGCAATTGGGAGCAGACTGTCTGGTTTCAAACTGGGCGGTTCTGGTCATTTTGATCAGAACCTTAGGCCCTGTTTGTGATGCCATTTCATCTCATAATGGTCTTAAATTTTCAAAATTCAATCAATAAATATAAAATAGAAGTGTTTGGATAGTTAAAAAAGAAGGGCTGAATAGAAACATTAAGGATGTTTTTACTTGGACTGTTTTCAGTCTCAGACCAGTTCAGACCAGACAAGACTTAGATAGTTATAAAAATACACATAGACTAGACATTACCAGACCAGATCAACAAATTTCAGTCCAATTAAAAACATCCTATGGAACATAGCGTCTCTCTTCAGCCGATCGTATAATCTAGTAATCTACCCCGTTCCTAACATGTCTTGTTTCTTCACTGCACATATCATCATCCTCTTCACTGCAAAATTCTTCGTTTGATTTCTTCACCGTGCGAATTCATTCTTTTCTGCGGTTCTTTGCTTATTATCGCTTCTATGAATTTATTCTCAGTTTCTAACACTAATCATCCATTGGGCGCAGATTTTTTCTTCACCTTGACGATCCTTGTACCAGGGTAATGTATAAGCTTTAATTCTATCCAAGAGTAATATATATTCTGATACTCTTTTGATGATTTTTGTTGGAATGTTGGATACACATCAAGTATTGGCAAATGAAGATTGTTTATCAGTCAATAATTGAAAATATTTTGTTTGGGATTGTATTGTGGATGAGGTTTCTTTCATACGAAGAACTTGAGTGAGTGTAGGGTCCATATGCTTGTGTTTTTCCTTTCCGTTTTTTAAAAATGGAAGTATTTCATTAGCATTAGATACGTATTAGGAATTCAGCAAGAAAGGGAGTTAAATAATCATAGAAAAGTTAAGAAGCAAGTGAAGGATAAGTTGGACATGATAAGTGAAGAAGCAAGTGAAGGATAAGTTGGACATGATGAAATAGGCTGAGAAGAAAAAACATACCTTTAGAGAAGGCTTTTACCATGTGTGTAGCTATTATTCTCCAACTGGTAAAGAGAAATAGACGACGAAGGAAGAACATGAACGGCTTGATGAGGAGTAAGGTGCTGTAATTGGTGAAGCAGTTTCCCTTTATGTCGTCGAGGTTTCAAATGAGGTATTTATGCCAAAGGGCGTCAGGAATTTGAGTGCAATTGGTCGGGAAATTGAGCGCAATTGGAAGGATATTAGGATTCTGTCTTCAATGTCACCAGAAAACCCTTTTCACACTTTAAAGTTTAAACATCTGATAAAACCCAACCTTATAAGATTGTTTTAGAAGCTTTGACAGTTCATGTCCTGGGAATTGTGTAAGTGGATTTTATAGGTGAGAAAAATTAAGAAGCAAAGCAGCTAGCTATAAAGGAAAAACCAGCGGAGAAAGATGCAATATTCAAGATTTTTACCAACCAGTCAAAAACACCATCCACTGCTATCATAGAGATAAAGAAACATTCCAGAAAATAGTTACTAATAAGGTATGCATTGATCAGATTCTTAAAGTGAGAAAAGGAAAATGTTTCCTAGCCTGGTTTTGAGAAGAAGCATAGTAGCCTGGATGGAAATGTAACAATCCACATTTTGTATGCATGTAACAATAAGAATATGTCCAAAGAACTTGAGCTGGAGTTCTTGAAGAAAAAACATACTTGGGTGTCCAAAGACAAGTAGATGAAGGCAGTGTCTTGGGCTTTTTTTCCAGGAAACTGTGAGCCTTCTAAAACAATTACAAACAAAATCTCTTGGATATAGCAGTAGACTAACTAGTACTAAACTACTAATTATTTAAGCCTAAGTTGAACAGTTTTTTTGGAGAAGGGGAAATAAAAGAAGTTGAAGTGAAGTGAGATCTCTTATGACCACCTAAGGCTTGCCCAGAAGAAAACACTCTGTTGCAGAAAGGGCATTCATGAATTTTCTCAGCATTCCCATTTTCCTCTACCTCTGTGGGACCAGAGAGGCAACGGCCGGCCGAGGTGGAGGCTTTGATCATCAACAACTTCTTGTGACTTGCTCTGTGTCCCCCAAGTGCCTGATAAGATCTAAACACTTTTCTGCAACTCCCGCCACATCTGTATTTCATCCTCCTCTTTCCTCCCCCCTTAACGACAACCTCTTCCTTCTTCTCTTCCTTGCTGCAGGTCCATTTGTCTCTAGACAGCATCATCAAGCAGTAAGCGCCGTCTTCCTCCGGTGAATTTTTAGAGTTCCACCTGCAAAGGTTACACTTGTGCTCCTCCATCTCTACCAGAGAGTTGCAAAAGAAAAGAAAAGAATAACCAAGTTTCTTGTTGTATATCTTTTTGCATGCCTCACTTGAAGTTTGAGTTTTTTTGGAGTATAAAGAGAGAGGGAACTAAAAGGGAGGGGAGTAGGTGACATGCATTTCTCTTCCCTCTTCACACCAAATGTTACTCCAATGCTATTGTAGAACCCCACCTTTTCTTTATCTTTTTAAAGGAAAATGAATACCTTATGTTGTATCCGCTTGTTAGCCACCTTTAGACTTGTATTCGTCAAGTATAAACAAGGTTTTCACCAAGTAATTGATGTGTGTCTGATTTTGTATGAGTTATGGTGGACTGAAGTTCACGGTAACTTAATTTTTAATGTAAAATTTTAAAATTTTCATATTTAACCACACCGTTGACGTTTAAGTGTAGTATAATTGCTCTTCAGCTCAGGGCATCCCATAATTGCCCCTATTGATGAAAAAAATATGAAGTAAAAAGTTTGGGAATATTTGTTTAATGTATTTGCTGAATACTTCATCAGCCCTTTCCTGCCATATGTTTTTTCTCCTCAATGCATCAAAAAAATGTGTTTTGAAGTATATATTATTTTACATAACTTCATGAATAAGTCGTCACACTTTAAGCAATTCTTGGAGCTTCAACAATTTCGGCCAAATTAACTATGTGAATGGCCTATCAGTTTATTTAGTTACGTAGTATTTAGTTTTGGAAGAAAGTTTTAATCCAAAATCTTCCGAAAAGCTTTTTCTTCCTCTTTTGAATAAAAGAAACTTTCTCATTAATTAATAAGATCATTCTCAACTTGATTTACAACACAAGCTGGGATAACACCATTATCACAACTAAGACCTGGTTGAAGAACGCTAGCCCTTGCAATTGCATGGACGGCACAATAAGCCGATCTTTTACGACAATTTAGAGAAAATAAATAAATTCTCTTTTATTAAATGCTTAATATATCATTCACCCAAATATCCAAGTAAGACCTCACCGGCCCCTTAGCTTTCTCATCGCTTGAACAATTGTCAAAGCGTCCGTCTCGATTGAAACTAAAGATGCTCTTTTTTAATTAATACCTAGAATTAATAAGTTCTAGGAAAAATTGACAAAAATAATCCCACCTTTCGTTGGTCTTCTCATAATAATCCCACCTTTAGGTAATCCTAGAATAATCTCACCTTTGCACTTCATCTTCTTTCATTGGACTTTGACCATGTTTTTTTTACCGTTTTTTTGAAAATCATATAAATAATCTCACCTTTCACTTTTCTATTATAGCTTTGTAAATGTGAGATTATTTATATAAGATTTTCAAAGAAAGGTAAAAAATTTGGTCAGGGTCCAATGAAAGAAGATGTGGTGCAAAAGTGGGATTATTTTGAGATTATGTAAATGTAGGATTATTATGAGAAGACTACTGAAAGGTAGGATTATTCTTGTCAATTTTTCCTAAGTTCTAAATTGATGAGAAAATTGTGTACCAAAAAACTACCATTCATTTTGCAATATGATACTTGTGATATAAAGGCAGTAATAGTGAATCAATATTCAATATCAATGGCGAAATACTACATATTACTTTTACACTTTTGGAGAGCAAACACTTTCTCCACATACACCAAATTAATTGGCACAATAGATCTTTCATACGTAGAAGTATATATTCTTACAAGTAAATATAAATCTTGTTACAGTATAATTACTCAAAAATTAATACAAATACTCTAGTATATATTCTTTCACACTATCCAAAATAGTATTTTCACACTTTTAGGTTTTGCCTTTACCAACTTTTTTTGTTATTTCCAAATTTAAGCTTTGATTCATACGGAGTATTAATTTAATAGAGTTAAAATGTGGTTAGTATAATTAATTCTTCTATTATATAATGAAATTTAAGCGACATAATATTTTTTGATAAACAGCCACACAATTATTAAATATCCACTCCAATCAAAGAGAATTTTTATTTAAGCATGGAAGCATTAATATGGAATTTACATTCCAAGAGTAAGTATATAAAATTAATTGAGAAATTACAGAAAATCAAACTTGAACTTTAAAAAAATCATGTAATATTTGATGAATGAATCTT